TCTCAGGAGGCAACAGTACTGTTGACTTCTCCCTCCACTGGACACCAACTAACTATTTAAGTTGATTTGCATACAAAGCAGAGCTTTCAACATGATAGCTATTCATAAAGGGTGTTTTTTTTTTACTTTTCATATAATACAGTAGTCACACAATGAGGCAGTTCATATTTGTCTCAGTGAATCATTAATTTTTGTCAGACACCTGTACAAAATACTTGGACAAAAGCCAGCTAAGATTTTCTGTTATCTTGCATGTTTTATGAATCTATTCACGTCTAAATGCAGCACTTTTTTTTTGCAATGAGACATTTGTTTTGATACTAAAATATCTGAATTACTTTGAATAAAGCTGGGAATTATGTCCCTTAAAATAATTAAACAAATAAGGCACCAATGTTTTTGTAAGATATTTACATCTTTTAAGGACATTCGGTAGACTGATTCCCCACTGTTGGTTCAACCCCAAAACTTGTTTGTATTCAAAATTAATTATGACAATGCACATTTATATTGAAACAAACTATGATAAAGGGAATTATATTATATAACAAAGGGCAAGGTCACCAGAGTTCAACTATGTTTAATAATTTGGCATCGTTTTACCACAATGCTAATTAAATCACCATATCATGAATATTAGAAATAGAGTAACAAATCTACATGTAGTACAGTAGTCATTGTGTTGTCAGCCGTGGATATTTACGACACATTATGGCTGTCATATCAAGGAATTCATTAAGTGACCGATTACAACGCTACAAAATTAATAATTAACAGGGGTGAGGCAGGGTTCATATTTAAGTTTTTTTTCACAAGGATTATGTTTCCTAATTTTCATTTGTCTATCATTAGCCAATAGTGTAGGGTTGTCAACACTGACCTTGACCCGGGAACTCACCCAAGTAAAACTAAACCAAATAGTACGTTCATGACCCTATGCCAATAGATCAATGCCTGACAGACAAAAATTTGGTCTGTATTAAAGATTATATTTAACTTGTCCATACTTTCATTACTATGAGTTAGTGTCATTAAGATGCAAGAAATTAAATAAAAATTGAATCTGAAATGTCATGGAAAACGTCAAAAATTGCAAAAGTATTTCTTCAGATCTCAAATTTTTCTAAGTGACATAAAAATGAAAAAGTCATTTGTTGTTGATATAAATCTGAATATTTTTTGAATATTTATCAAAAATTTACATTTAATTTAGTGAGTTTCAAGTCTAATAATACTTTTTCATTATATTAATTGAACCTTGTCTCCCATGATGCATTGCAGTACACATAGTGTAACAAATTTAATTTGGCTCAGATTTTTGTATGTTTGGATTTTCAACTCTTTCAACTCACGGAGTTTATAGATGGCATAGATAATGTGATGACTCATTGAAACATGTCTTGATTGCAATCTATTTTATTATTTGAAATTTGTTGATATATACATTTCTCAACAGCATTATTAACATAACAGATTCATAAAAAAATTGGAAATGAACATTACATGGGATTAATGTATTTTTTATGTCTCTAACTGCTTTATCACTAATAAATGCTGTGATACTGTAAAATACTTTATTTTAGCTGGAATTAATTTTGGCTGAAAAACATTTTTGTATGTTTTGTATGGAATTTATTTTCACTGATTTTTCATGAGTTGACATTGATGAGCTGAAGCCATAATGATGCAATGCTGAAGCGAAGCTGACACTGAAGTGAGGCCAAAGCTTACGTGATAACTGTATATCTCCAAGGTTTATGGACCATTTTCATTCATATTTGACACATACATGTACATCATACATATTGGAATACATGTTCATATCAGTTTGTTTTTTATAATCAGATTAAATATGGCCGACTTGTATCCATCTTGTTTTTTGGTGTTATCATTCATTTTGATAAAAACATTATACGTGTTGAGATTCATGTCCATGGTGATTCATTTCGTGTTCAAATCAAATTCAAAATTACCAACTGGCAGCCATCTTGTTTTTTCAAAATGTATCGCTGACATGTTTTTTTCTTTTTAAATTATACATTAAGATACATGTCCATAACAATTAGTTTTACAATCGGATCAAAAATAGTTGACTGCCTGCAATCTTGCTTTTGAAATGAAATCCAGTTTTGATACAAAAAATGCATGAATAGTATATCCTGTTTAATTTCTGACCATATATTTTGATTTTGGAAGAGTAATTTAATAAATCTAATTTCTGTTGATAGTAAACCAGCCAATTATTCATTAATTATTCACTCTCAATTACTAACTATGCTTTTGGTCCATATTATTTTGTCTTTGGCATGAATAATCTAATTCCAATGGGGCCGATGTAATTAACAATGACTTGTCCCTTTTGTTTTGCATTTGCATTTTTTAGGACTTTGTATTTTTTTTTAATATTCTTTTGGTTTATTTTGTAGTTTAATATAATTGTTTTGCTTTATGAGCAATTAAGTACTTAAAATTAAAAAAATATGACAATTGTCAGTTGTCATCTAAAGTATCTATACTGAACCTTTGTACTTTGTCCGTTGGTGTTAATGAGATCAGGCTGACTTCTATGACAGTTAGTTCCTCCTAGTGTATGTTATCGTGATTGATATTTCAAATATGAACTTGTGTAGTTACTGTAGACCACAACGTTAATTTCGCAAAAGACAATTTTTTTTGTGACTTTCACACGTAGCTGTAAAATTTCTAAAGTTTTCACAACTTTCACAAAACTTAGTTCTCACAAATACTATAAAATCATCAAATCATAGTCATTTCCAGCAGTGAAAATTGAATTGTTTACTATAAATCACAGCAATTAACTTAATTAACAGAAATATGGATATGGGTTCACATACATGTAATTGAAACTTGGATGACTCATTTGATGAAGGGGAACCTCTGGGGAAAACCTACTCAATGGAAAAGGGGCATCTTTTTAGGCCAGGAACTAGGAAGTGTGCATTGTAGCACTCCCAGGGTGCATCTCTCTGATTTCAACAATAGGTATAAAATTTTCTTCCTTTGAAATACAAATTAACATAATAGTGAGAATTTATGTTTCTTTCACCAAAATGAAGTAATTTGTTGTGCTTCTAATAAGTGTACTGCATCATGGGAGTATCATCATAACCTAGTAAATGTCAAAAAAAATGTGCAAGATCAAAATTTGTGTATTCAGAACAGTATGTCTCCGGCCCAATTATATTAATTTGAAAAGTTAAATAATTTTTTAAAAGAGGGATATTGATGCTACCAATGTGTATTACATCCAATTATCTTCACTTAAATTACATTAAAAGCTGTTCTTCATCTTTTCTGAGCAAGAAATATGAATCTATGTAACTTTGTTACTGGAAAAATGAAAGAAATTTGTGGAATGTACAAAGTAGGGGCTGTAGTGAAAAATTATCTATACTGTGGAATACTTTATTTTCGCTGGAATTAATTTTCGCTGAAAAGGCTTTTTGGGCGTTTTGCTTGGAATTTATTTTCACTGATTTTTCATGAGTTTGATGTGAAATATAGGGAAAAAAGTATATTCGTTGGATTTTATTTTCACGGAATCCTCTCTTAAGCGAAAATAAATTCCAAGCGAAAATAAAGTATTCTACAGTATTTGGTATTTTTTTTTAAATATATTTTTGAGATGCATCAATCACTGGCACTGACACTGACACAAAGAATTGTGTTGCAGCGTTGAATTAAAAAATTTAATCAGTCCATTAATTATTTTGTATTATTTATAATTAGTTGTTCTTGTGATGTTCGTTTCACATTGTTTATACTCGGCACATAGACACAAATTACTGGATTCTGTCCTAACATTGGCATCTATATGTATGCTGTTTGACATGCGCTGCTGTAAATCTGACCTTTGACCCCATGCTGCATTGTTGTTGGGCTAATCACTAAATGTTACCTACACTTAACTTTAATTTATATGTAAAGTTATTCATACGGGTATGCATCACCCAGAAAAGATTTCATTCATGTCGCGTTTAAATCCTGTTGTCATGACAACTGATTACCCAACCTGGTTTAATTTGTGGCTTCTATGAAGAAACCATCTTCGGAATGAGGAGTGAGGATGGTGTGTGCGTGTGTTTTATGATCTTATATCTTCTGTTATATGTACAACAACTTGGTAGTTATGCTCAGTAATTATTTGTTAATTCGAGATGGACACACCCCCCCCCCCAATAAAAACATAGTTGCCCCTACATTTTTTCAGTAGCTTAGTATTATCATCTCTATTCATGCAAAAAATCACTTCCGGAATACAAAAATGTTCTAACTCTTTGTTTCCTTCCTCCAAAGTTAATTTTAACTTTTTAGCATATGTTTTAGTAAATCCTGCGTTGCTTTATAGTACACATTGACAGTGCATCGTATTGCTTGCCATTCAAGCGCCTTGAAATGAAAGTTGAATAAATGATGGTTGAAACCGTACGTAATGTGTTTTCATAATGCATGTTTGGGTTTGCAAAATGCTGTTGAGCGCAACACAAACAGGTCATTTCCTCCTTGCAGTTGACAATCAGCTGATATGCAAATCTTGTATGAGTATTATGTGTTGTTGTATTTTTGGCAGTTTTTACCTTGCCCGTACCATCAAAGATGGAAGGGAAAGGTATATTAAGGGAAAAATTTTGTCTGTCGTTGTCGTCGTCGTCGCCGTCGTTAATAATTGTTATTGTGTGCATAATAACTTTACTAATTCTATTCCAAACTTTTCAAACTTGATCACCTTATTCATCAGTATAAAGTCTTCCCTGAGTTTGAACAACAGATGTCCTGTATCAAAATATCATGCAAAAATTGAGAAAATCTGATAAAATATTTTGACTGTTTCTACTTGACTGATCACTGGTGATACACATCAAAGGTCACTGATTTCAGTGGAAATGTGCATTGTTGTATGTGTTCAATGAAGCAAATAATTTATCTTGTAATAATATCCTTAGTAATGTATCTCAGAATCGCATACTGGGTTTCAAATCCAACTCATGGAGAGATTGCACAGTCTGATACACATTTGCAAACCTTCCAATAAAATCTTTACAGAAAACAAGAAAATCAATATAAGCACTCCTATGAACTGGGTGCCAAACTTTAATCAAGATCTGAAGCTAATAGAAAATCTGTTTAGTTCGAAGTTATCAAATCAAAAACAATACATAAAAAATACATAAAAAGCAAAACATTTCATCCACATTTTAAAAAGAAAATTGTTCTAAAATATATGTATTCTGTATTTGACAAACAGTTCATTCGACAAATGAAAACTCACAGGAATATGTTTCAGCTATTAGAACAGAATGATAGAGTTTTTATAATACTGGTTTAAAAACGCACTTCAAAGATTGCAGTGTTTGAAGATGTAGATTTTCAGGAGGCAACAGTACTGTTGACTTCTCCCTCCACTGGACACCAACTAACTATTTAAGTTGATTTGCATACAAAGCAGAGCTTGCAACATGATAGCTATTCATAAAGGGTGTTTTTTTTTCTTTTCATATAATACAGTAGTCACACAATGAGGCAGTTCATATTTGTCTCAGTGAATCATTAATTTTTGACAGACACCTGTACAAAATACTTGGATAAAAGCCAGCTAAGATTTTCTGTTATCTTGCATGTTTTATGAATCTATTCACGTCTAAATGCAGCACTTTTTTTTTTGCGATGAGGCATTTGTCTTTATACTAAAATATCTGAATTACTTTGAATAAAGCTGGAAATTATGTCCCTTAAAATAATTAAACAAATAAGGCACCAATGTTTTTGTAAGATATTTAACATCTTTAAAGGACATTCGGTAGACTGATTCCCCACTGTTGGTGCAACCCCAAAACTTGTTTGTATCAAATT